TTTTTTTATGTATTTAAAGAAAACTTTCATATTTATTGGGCCAACCCAGCCCTGCTTGACTCCATCAAAAGGGCTATGCCAGACCCAATAATAGGCTGGGCACAAGCTATGGCCCATTTGGCTTGGTTTAGGCCGGGGCTGGAGTTGTGGGCCCAGCCCACAGCTGCGTAAGGGTATTCTCAGAAGTCACAAAAAAATGGCTTGAAATTAAGGCAGCCAATAGCGAAAAGTATAGGCTCACGGGAGGGTTATTCCTCTGGTGTAATTTCCAATTGGTTTCCTTTTCTTTCTGTTTGTTGAGCTGTGCTTTTATTTGATATAAGGGATTTTTATGCATAGACTTGGTAAAATTATTGAATTTACCGTTTAATACATAAGTTTGGTAATTTTAATAAAAAAAACAGCAATATTCACCATATACTAGGATTAAGCTTTTGGGGTTAGGTCAAAAGTATTTATGAATTCATTTTTTTTTTCTTTGTAGTTCAGCGGGGAAGAGGTCCCCCTATCCATAATAAAAATGGGACTTTGGACGTCGTGTTTTTGTGGCACTGCTGACCAGCAATCCTTGAGCCCATTCCTTTTTCTTTTATGGTGATTATAAAGCAAATGCCAAATTTTATTAATTTCTGAAAAATGACTACCAACAACAACCTCTACATACATAAGTGTTTTAGAGAGAGAAACAAAAATACTGAAAAAAAAAATCGACAAGAGGAACGAAAGCAGGGAAACAAGACCTCCTCACACACCATCAAAAAAAAGTAAGAGTCCCAGCTCATCATTCCCTCTCTTCCTCAAATATTCTCTCTTCATTCCATGTCAAAGAGCAACTATTATAATATACATGTTTGCTTTTGTACTTTCTAACGCACGTACTTCCAAAAAAATAAAACTAATTCTCCTAAAAGATCTCCCTTCTAATAAAACAAAAACTCTTCCTTCTACTTCCTTTCCTTTCTAATCGATAACCAAAAACTTCCTATGTCAACCTTTCTACTCCATGCTCCATATCCACGGATAAGAGCGGACTTTACCATCTAACAAAGATAATAACTCATTTAAACCAAAAAAAAAAACGTACTACTTACCAAAAAAAATTAAAAATTGCAAAGAATAAAAAATACTAAACCATCTGATCTTAATCTAAAAAAAACGTACTACTTACCAAAAAAAATTAAAAATTACAAAAAATAAAAAATACTAAACCATCTGATCTTAATCTGCATCAATACGTGTAACGCTTGCTCTTGAATGCTCAATTTACAATTTATCATGTTTAAATTTCTCTTGTGTGTCTAAAGCGCTATCACAATTCGAATATATATTTATATCTATGCCCACTGAATCAATGGTATAAGGCTCAAACCCCACTCCATGAAAACATACAAATATGATTATTGTTTCCATGGGAGCAAATTCTACATTTGCTCCCTCAAGCATAATCCTAGCAAGGAATACTTTTGGGACCCCAAACTTTGGAAATATAATCTACTCAACCTAACAACCAACTAAAAAACAGAGAGAAAAAGAAACTGATAACACATTTCAAAAGTGCCTCCTTAGGATGAACACAGACTACTCATTTTTTTTGAAAATTCAGGTTTAGTTATTCAAGATGTCAAAAATCTTGTATTTTCCTTTTTAAATAAGTTATTCAGCGATTTTAAAGTGAATTCCGAATTTTCATATGGGATAGTCTATAAAGAGACCATTTTTCTTTTTTGCAAAGAGGTCACAACCATTCTTGTACCTTAGATTTCCAAATGGGTCAGTTGTAAAAGTGTCGTTGATGAAATACAAAGTTCCAAAAAACAAATTCTCGGACTTCATGACTCACCTCAAGCCGTTCAATTTGACATCTAAGGAGTGGGAATAGTTGTAACCTTCTAGTATAAATGGTCTCTCTATAGACAAACCTTATTCATATACAAAAAATTATCCTCCTAAATAGGTCTTTCACTTGAGGAAGTTTTGATTTTGGTCCTATATAAAAGCATAGTATGGCTCCCAAAGAAATAACACATAAAAACCTACCTGTTACCGATAACTGATAGACATACTTAATCCAGGACAATCCATAAAAGCCTTATCACGCTAGCAAACAATACCAATCTTCTCTATGAAACCATATGATCATTTATCATAGGTCACACTGTTCTTCTCCTTTTCCTAAGGTTTAGCCACAAGAACATTCACATTAGCAACTTTACTTCCTTTATTTTGGGGAAATACTATATAACTATATAAATTTGTCTTCAAATTTATCCATGAAATAAACAGTAAGGCCTTGTACCTTTTGGAATAAAAAGGTTACAATCAACCTTAATTGCTTTAGAAGGGGCTAGGTCGTGGTGGTAGTACCTCCATACCTAGTTACCACATTGTGGTTTCCAACCCTGCTGACACTACCGACTGACACTTTTAAAAAAAAGCTCTCTAATCTATACGAAAAAACAAGGTGGTCACAATGACTTACAACTATCCAATGTGAAATTTAGTAGTTTGGATATGTCACAAAGCTCGAGAAACTTTCTTTTGAAGTTTAAGCATGATCAGTAGAATAATTGCAGACATCTAATTTCACATCTAGCAGTCAAGAATAATGTGACCACCTTGTATCAAAGGTAAATGGTCTCATTCTATACTTTCCATATATA